CTCGGCCAGGCAGGCCACCGCCGCCAGGGCCACCAGGGCCTCCCAGCCTGCCGGGGACATCCTGCCTGCCTGCCTGCCTCCCTGGGCGCTGAGGGAAGGGAGCCTGCGGAGAGAAAGGAGAGAGCGCGCGTGAGCCTCCCGAGCCACCTGAGAGACCGGGCTTTGCGCCTCGACTCTGACCGGCCAGGAGACCGCGTGCTGGGGACCCGGACCTCCCGGCCTGTCCCAGCGCCCGCGGAGGCGCAGGTGGTGAACTGCTGGGGCTCGTTCGAGCGGGTGTAACCCTGCGCGCGGGCGGAAAAGGAGCCTCAGGGGAAGAGCGGCCCAGCGAGCCGCTTGAGTGACAGGTGCCACAGTCCGCCTCACTTCAAAAGGCCGCTCTGGGAACATAATAGGGCCCAGTCACACGGGGCTTTCTCTCTGCTAAGTCTGCGCCTGGGTTCACCTTGTGGCAAGTCAGGATCAGTCTGCCTCGCATCCCAGTGGGATTGTGAACCGAGTTGCGCGCCTTGTGAAGCCACACTTGGATGGGTTCGCACAACCTACTTAGCCCCAGTCTGTATTCGGGGTTAGGGCATGTGGGAACCCAGCGCATGAGTTCAGGATAATGAGTTCGAGTCTTCTCACATTTCAGGGTCGCCGTTCCTCTCTGACATAAGGCGATGAATAAACAAATAAATAAATCGAAGCGGAGGGGGCCTCTGAGGGACTGCGAAGGGCACCCAGCAGCAATCTTCGCCGCGCTGAAGGTTTACTCTCCTCAGATCGAGAATGGACCTTCCCAACTTACACCTCCTTTTTGAAGCTAGCTGCTCTCTCAGGAGAATGAGAAAAGTGGGACAACCATTTCGGACGACCGCGGGAGCCAGCCCGACCCGTCTGAGTGCTGAGAGCGCAACAGTTTGAAACACCCGCGTCCCGGCGATGGCAGCTTGAGACACAGACACACACACACACACACACACCGGTCCTGCGGGCTTTTGGGGAAATATGAGCCCGGAAATCGGCGCTCTCCCTGGGGCGTCAGGTAAAGCGCGCCAGTTCCCTCGGCTTTTCTCCCGCGCAATCGGTTTCGAGAGGGTAGGCGTGGATTTCCACGGGCGAAATCGTGGCTTCACGACTGGGCTACAAAGAATCCCGGTCAGGGAGGTAAAGAAGGAGAGCGAATCGGGCGGAGCGACAGGCATTCATCTTTGCTGGCTTGGAAATACCGTCTAAAGGAGTCCAAAGACCTTGGGGTCTTAGCTTCTCCGGTACCCTTGGGCTTAGATCCAGTCCATTTTTACGAGGGGGTTAGGGGGTCCCTTTTCTTTTTCCTTCACTCTCCGAAATCATTGCCCTGGACAGCTTGCCTTTGAAACTTGCCCCACTGTCTCGGTGAGGACCAACTCTTCCCCAGGAGAGGAAGAGCATAGTCATGTAGGAAGTTGCGCAGCCGAAGATGGTGGTTCTGTGTGTGCCGAGCCACAAATTCCCCAGCCATATTTTAGCCTGGCGGAGTGGTGGAGGGAGGGGAACAACCCAGAACTTCAGTTTACTCTCCAGGCAGTTGGGTGTATTAAGTAAAGCGAGGTTCAGTTAACCATGGACAAGAGAACCTCGTGATTTCTGCCTTAGGTTGGGCTCGCCTATCTCGCTAAATCAAAATGTGATTTAGGGAGCCCAGGACTTAGCACTCTGTGTGAACCAGGGACTTAAGATGTTAGACAATGATTAACATCTAATGGCTTAGAC